GTATTTGAATAAGTTAAATCCCAAGAGAAGAGTTGGCATTTCGTCTCTTCTGCGTAACGTCTGTCGGAAACCGAGAAAAAGACGAGAAAACTAAAGAGATTACGAAGCGAGTAAACACTCTACGTAATAAGTTAGTGCGTATTCTCAACGAGAATATCATATGTTTTAAAAAGAAGCTTTGTCATTTATTTCTGTATAAAGTATAAGAAGATTGGATTTTACATTCATCTCATTCCAGTCCATGAACGAAAATTAAATATCGAAAAATGTGCGAATTCTTGGTCGATCTTTTCGATTGTAATGTCTTAATGCCGCTCTGATCGTTAAAAAGTTGTTATTTAATACATCTATTGAGACAAAAAAATAGCTTTTTATTTAGCTATTTTTATAAAGACGGAGGAGAAAAACATTCCCTTTCTTGTCTTTAATAGAAATGTATAATAGATGCCCACATTTGTGTATAATATTTCGTTCTTTGGAGGCGGTGATATATTAGTAACTCGTTGTAAAGAATGATTTTTTCTTATAGTTAGAAGCGGAGGAAATTACATAAAATCTTCTCGAATATTTTACAATTTGATACAATAATAATCGTATATTTGTAAATAATTTTCGAAGGGAAAACTCAGGGGGAAAAAAAAGAAGAAAGGTGAAAGAAAAAGCAATCTGTCGGTCAACAAGTTTTTTAATTAAAGAACTTTTCTTTCTTTTTCTGCAGTCTTTTATCTGATCAATCTTCCCCTTCCATTTTATGTCTCGTCGCTTCCATTCTAAGACAATCCGAAATTTTTCAGTTAAAAAAATTAATTAGTGAACTGCGCTTACTTCTATCGATTACTAATAGATTTTAAAAACTGTAAAGAACGTTAATACTTGATATTTACTAATTTGCAATATGCCTTGACAGTATCCCGATAAAATAATAAAAGAATTTTCATAAAATACTACCAGATGGCGAGATAGCTGCGTATTTAATAAGACAGAGTCGACTTTCTCTCATGAATACAACATTATTACAAAGTCGTATTTGGTGACGTCGGTTCTTAAGAGAATCTTTAATCTTTCGACGTCAAACTATTGTAAAACGAGATCGTAGATATTAATCGAAACTTTTATATCGGGAAGAGAGGAAAGGACTTAATACAAGAAGCATCCAACAGAACGAATCTTTAAGCTTTAATTTTCGAAATTAAATCTTTTTACCTTCTTCTGAAATCAATTAAAAGTTTTCTACGGAGGTTTATGTAATCTGATTTGTCTTCTGCATGCTTTAACTCTTGTGTTAAAAGAATTATTTTTGACCTTTGTTTTGCGAGAAGGGAAAAACCGTGTGTGTCTCTAATAAGGTTTGATTATGTCGCGATAATTTTGGTTTTTAATAACTCGAATCCTATGAAAACTGGACTTTTTTTATATATATATAACAGAGGGAAAGTATGGCCATCGATTAAAAAATGTTCCTTCCCTCTCCAAGATCTTTACATTTTTTGACTCGGGACATCTTGAAACGTCGAGAAATGCAAAAAATTTGGGGAGTTTTTTCTGTTTATATGGATGTTAGTGTGGGGGGACGATTTTGTTCACTCGTTTGACCCGATTTTGTTCACCCCTTAATAACTCCTGTGCTTTTTGTCGAAAATTTCTGAAATTTTACAGGGAAGTTTGTGTATTAGAAGATCGATATTATTAAATTTTGGTGATTACAGATCGAGGGGGTGGGGAGATAATGGGTGTTTTAAAAAGTTTTAAAAAATATCTTTGCTTCACTGATGAAATGTCGTTTAAAAATGACGTGCTGCTTTTCCGGTATGGACAGGTAAACATCCCCGCTGGACACTTTAATTCCTGGCACCGGCATGTAATTGCCGGGCATGTTTTTAATTTTAAATTTACATTTTTAAATTTATGAAATGTTATTTATCTTTTAATTTAGTTGTAATGTGAAATAATTTTAAATTATTTCATTGAAATAACCGGCGATTCTAAACTGACTCCCTTTATAGGAGAGAGAGGGGGAGGAACTTGTTGAGGAAAAGGAAGAATATAGAAGTGAAGTATCGAGGTATGATGTAAGAATCGAATATTGCATTAAATACTGTAAGTATAGTACATTGATTTCTGTATAAATGTACTGAAGAGGTATAGACAAACGGGAAATAATAAATACGAATGATGGAAAATTTTTACAAGCACCAGGTTTTATTTTTAATTTTTAAAAAGTGCAAAATAAAATAATAACGAACTAAATAGTTCTACAGTACATTAATTTTAATAGAACTGAAAGTAATCTAGATGTCTCCAGCAAGGACTTTCCTATTATGTCTAATGATAATAATAAGTAAATATAATATAAATTAAGAATTTTTTTAGCAGCTTAAGACACGGTAAAAGCTAAACATGTCTCAAGTCTACGTTAAATACCTGTACTAATTAAATGTGTATAACTTTTATTTATATTTTTACCTCTCCCTTTTCTATATATTTGCAATACGTATAATACGTAATACATTTGTAATAATATTCAAAAAGCTTCGGGACTGATGCTGTATTGCCAAGTATATTGATAGGAAAATGTTTAAACATATAGAGGGTGTAGAAGCAAAGTTGTGCTCATCTTGGCCAGATAATTTTGGACAAGAAGTGAATGGTGCACTGGGGCTTTGTCGTGGAGTACAATGGTAGCTAACATCAAACCAAACGAAGAAGAAGGAGTATAATGGACAATAATGTCGATAATCCCCCATATTAATTTCATTTTCTTTCGTCATTAAAAACTCGTACAAAAGTGTAAACAAACACAAGATTTTACTATAGCGCCTACGGTTTCTGGAGATGCCTGAAAGGATTTTAAAATTATTCAATGTCTGTAAGAATACAGTGCGACTATAGCGAAGCATATAAGTATACTGTATTTCATATACTGTTTACGAGCACACTAAACTGAAAGACTTAGCCACCTCATAGCCCCCATAGCTACGGCTCCGTATAAAACTTGTAAAAATTTTGATGGAAAAAAGTAGGTTTATTTTTCTTTAATTTAGAAAGGATATGCATTTTGAACCTTACGCTTTTCTTCAGTTTTTATTCTATTAAATATATCGACAAAAAACTATGTAAGAAATTATATTTAAAACAATTATCTCGTACAAGAAATTAAAAGCTTTGTTGTCGTCACAAGTGGAATTTCTATTTCTGTTTAAAATCGTAAATCGAGAAAGGAACGAATAAAACATTTTCCTAACGACTTGGCTTATTTAAAGAACAAAAACGTTTGTTCCGTTTTTATCTCTTCATCGGCAAAACAATATTCCATTTTTTTAAAATATATTTTTATTTTTCATTGTTTTCTAATTTACTGTAGATTTTAATTAAGCGATATTTATTCCATTTTCTTTCTTTTTTTTCTCTCTCTCTCTCTTTTATAACAGATAAAACTTTTATCTGTTCGCACTTTCAAATATTTGATGGAATTGGCGAATTCTCCGAATTGCAACAGAAAATAGAAAGAATCTTGTTGCTTTTTTCTTTTAAATTTTCGAATTTTCTTATAGAGATTTCGATCTAGAAAAGAAGGAGAATGTTTAACCGTCACTATCCTAAACAAAAACATCAAATAACGTTAACTTTTGCTGGCTGTTATTTTAAGTATCGTCGGATTATGCTAATAATAACTACATAGATTGGAAGATTAAGAAATTTTTCAGTGTTGGAAACACGGAGAAAGCTGCTTTGTCAGAAATCTATAGATTACATTCGGTTTTTATACACTTTTATATTGTTGCTTGAATAATATCGACGACAAAATTAATCACGTATTGAGACACGTGTTGGATTTTTATCGTAGAATATGGAGATGAAGGCTACGATAACAAAGTTCACATATGTGATTAATATCATTGATGTCGTTGCCATTTTGTAAACACAAAATATACTCTTACAACAAAATGTTTATTGACTATAACGATAAATAATGCATTCGAAATATCTCTAATGACATTTCGCATTAGGATAATAATAACTATTCGCATTTTGGAAGATGCCACGTATAACATTGTTGATAATTCCGTTTTATATGAATTCCATGTTGTACGAGTCACTTAGATTTTACAAATACGTGAACCGTTCACAGCCCGGCACACATATTTGTAAAATCTAAGTGACTCGTACAACATGGAATTCATATAAAACGGAATTATCAACAGTGTTATAAGGGGATCGACTGTATATACAATTTCTATAATAACGACGTATCCGTGTTATCATAGTTAATGTCTAATTTTTATACCCCATTGTATAAGGTCGATTATTATGATTCGAAAGTTGATATATTTGCTTGTATATTTATAAATATACAAGCAATCCTTTCTGTAAGTGAAAAACTATCTTATAAGAGACAATTCTTATTTTATGAGTTCCATTCGGAGTGTATCACTAAGCTATATGTAGTTATATTGATATAAAATGATTGTTTTTAGAGACTATATTCATATTCAAACTCTTCGGGTGCATAATTTATGAATTTTGAGTCAGAAAATTAATTAGTAAATAGATCTTATATTTTACAAAATACAATGGCTAAAGTATCTTCTTTATAAACACTCTTTCATTGCTGTTAACACATGTAATTTAACGATATATTTTTACTCAAATCGGCAAAAAGAGCTTAAAATATAGAAATTCTCATCCGAATTTATAATTTTTTCTCATTTACTTCTTCTCTGTAGGAAAATAATTGACACTTTCAAGGTCGAAATAATTATTTTCTTACGTAACTATATATAAATTTTGCATTTCGTTAGCGCATATATAATCTATATATTATGTATCAATAATATATATATATGTTTTATCGTTAATTGTAAAATTGGAGAGGTAACGAAGGAGTAACGGTTATAATAAATCATTAATTGATTAATCTACAGAATAAAGTTATCTCCCTTTTTTTTTTTATCAGCTCCGTTTATACGATACAATCGCTAATCTTGTTTGATAATTGACGAAATCGGGGATGTATTTATAAAAGCGATAAACAATAACATCTCGGATTCGTGTAGTCTCTTACACGGGAATAAGATGTACTGTACTTTCGTTAATGCACTTTTTGCAGTTTTCTAGACATAAGTAGGAAAAGGTAATTAGATTTAACGGTGTTGTGCGGTGTTTTCTTTCACGCTGAGACGAAAATGACGTCAATTTTAACGAGGAGTTATAACCGGATATTTTAAAGTTTTTGTAATAGAAACTAAAGAAAAATGGAAGAATTAACAAGTAAACAATTGCTGATATTGAAAGAGGCAAGTGTATATTAATTAAAGAATTAATTTCTTTAAAATTTCGATAAAAATATTCTTTAAAATTTACTATATTTTTTTTTAAATAGAGAATAAATAACTAAATCGAACTTTAAATTTAGATAATACAGACGACGAAGCAATTTCTAATCGTCTTTAATATATATTAATTATCTGTTTTCCTCTTTGATCTCTACAAATTCTCATTCTTTGACTTTAAGCAAAATTGAATGTTATCTAATTTCTATTTGCTTCGAGTCAACTTCGACCGTTCGTATAATCGTTAACATTTTGCAGATAAATTCTTCTTTATCTTTATACATTGTTAAAAATGAAATTAAAAAATTTAAGAGGAGGAATAATGCGAAATTTTATACCCGAGCAGTAAATTTTTTAAAGTAATACTTAACGTATACAATAATTTATTAACACGAAAGTATTTCTCCTCTTTCGGGCTACTCCATAATGTATGAAGTATTGTTTAAGTTCATTTATACGTTATTATATTGGAGAGAATTTATTTATTTTATTTTTTATCGACACTCCGATAATCCTGGTTCAAATGTAAGTTTACAAGGTTATCGTTAGTGTCTGCTACATCGCCAATAAGTTATAGTTTACATACGTTTAATATCTATTAAACGTATGTAAACTATAAGGCCGGCTGATTAATGGAAATTCCGAGAAGTGGTGGGCGTCGTGGATGAAATCGTTCATCTTTCGATATCGTGACTTTCGTCGTAATTTCGTCTACGAATAATGGATGAGTTTCGTGATGATTTATGTCGTCTCGATCTAAATTAATAGTGAATAATCGCGTATATCCAGATCAGACTCGAATTCCTATCTCTCGCGACGATAGACGGTCTTGTATTATCTTAGTTTCTGACGTCATGAATTGAATTACCCATTGTTAAAAGTGTGATGGAATTATACTAGTAATACGCTAAAAATATTTAGGTTTACTTGGATCTATCCTCGTGTACTGTCTTACTGTACGCTGTATTAAAACCTCAAAAACTGTAAACAAAATTGTGGAAAAATACCGTAATAAGTTAACATTTTCTGAACTTATATAGGCTATTTTTTTTTTAAATAGCAGAGTGTTTCAAAGTCCAGAGATGTATAACACGTGTTCGACTGTCGAGGACTGTTTTGATAAATAACGTAACAGAATGTCCCACGTGATTAAATTTATTGAAATAAGTATAATCAATAGTATGGTTTTGACACACATTACTTTTCTATAGAATGGCTAGATCTATCTACTTATGTTTTTCTACCGCGACACAAAGACATCGACCCGACCGTAGAAGAAATGGGTGTCAAGTTCTCGGAGTTAGGATTTTATTGTTCGATGCTAGGTCGGGGTTACGAGATAGATCGGTGTTGAATGCGTCACACTATAACGCAATAGCCAGATGAGGTTAACAATGTTTACTTTACGGGCGATTAGTAATATTCACCTCTTTGAATTGGCGGTTATTTGACCGACAGGGAATTGGCCATATCGACTGCAAAGTGTGTGCATTAGGTCAAACATTCTGGCTCCTCAAACTCGATTTTTTGTTGATTGATCTTCATTAGCTCAGATGTATTCGAACCGAAAGACAAAAGGGTGATCTCGAAATGAAAAAGATGCGATTTTATGTGTTTTTCAAAGAAATATTAAAGCGACCTTAAATAATAAATCGTAGCAAAAACCGACAGAAGAGAATTCAAGGTATAAGTTATCTCCATTATTATAACATCGCATCTAGTATAAATTTCTTAAATACAATCATTAGAGAGGTTGCGGCCGAAGTTTTCATCTCTAAAACGTTAACGTCGAACGTCGAGCGCCGCTATCTTGTAAGCAGCGCTCGACGTTCGACGTTCACGTTTTAGAGATGAAAACTTCGGCCGCAACCTCTCTGTTAAACACTGGAAATTATTCTGTTTGTATTAGCGTTTGATTTGCTTCCTGCGCTGAATTTTATTCTAATTACTTACGTTAAACGAATCCACGAATATTCTTACTAAACGTAAACAATAACGACAAACAGAAAGCACGGCACGGATGTTATCCAGTTTTACTTTTCCGGCTATTATATATAACAGAGGAAAAGTATTTTTTTAACACAGTCTAGATCAAATAGACACATATACATACGGGCTTATCACACCGGTGTGATAAGCCCGTATGTATATGTGTCTATTTGATCTAGACTAACAAGTAAGTGTTAAACAATATTAAGGGCTAAAAGCAATAGATTATTCCATTGAGAGAAAAAGTATGGTGGGCTGTCAGAAAATGATTCCCAAAGTTTTTACATTTTTGGACTTAGAACAACTTGAAACGTCGAGAAATGCAAAAAAATTCGGAGGTTTTTCTGTACGTATGGTTGTTAGTGTGTAACATAATTTTGTTCACCCTCTTTGAAGCTTAACTTAATAACTCCGGTGCTTTTTGTCGAAAATTTCTGAAATTTTTCAGGGAGGTTTGTTTATTAGGGGATCGATGCTATTAAATTTTGATTAGAAGTCGAGGAGTGGGGAGATAAAGGGGGTCGTGTGTATCTCCAGTAGAGTAGGACTTAATTACTCGTTACATTTACATACATTTTTTTTAAACTTAAGAAAATTTTTAACATTAAAATATTGTTATCTTTTTTATGCATTTTATTTTTGAAGTAATAAATTACATATTTTGAGACATAGGTTTATATTTTGCACACCTGATATTAAATATTAGTAGTATTGTATTTTAACGACGATAAATTTCATGAAAAATAATTTCGATACTCATAAATGATAAGATTTATAATATATTTTAAAAATTATGTAGCTTAATATTACCTATGCAACACATAATTGTCGAATGTATACACTATTGTTAATCGACAAATACTAATGACGCTGGTTCGTATGATTTTCTCATACACTTACTATAATCTATCTATAGATCATATTACAGTTACAAATTCCTATTTTTTGCCAAATACTAAAGCTCCCATGTGTGAGAACATTATCTAGGCACGAGATGTAACGAGGATTTTTGGGTACTATGAAATACCGTAATAAAATCATACTCTCAAAACGATAGTTTGTAATATCACATTCGTTTGATTTTATTAATAAAACAGAACAACATAATATAGGGTGGCGATACGTAGAAAAATTTAACACGTTATAAATAAAGACACGTGTTTTACAAGTGCACGAATCAGAATAAGGTACTGTACAACGTGTTTATGAATAGATGCATTTAACACAATGTCTTAAATTTAAAAAAATTGGGTTCGGTTTACTTTAAAATAGAACATCTTTCAAAAACAAATTTTACTACTGTTTCCTATTGGCTGTAGTTAAAAAAAAAATAAATTTGTTAATATTTCATATGGTAATGTTTCGTCTTGGAATATAACACAAGGTCTAATTACACTCGAAATAGGTCTTATAATATAAGCTTTTTTTAAATATTTAATGAACTTTACTTAAGTTATATTAATTTCTTATAAAATATATTTGAAAATTTTAATTAATGATTTCTTTTTAATTAATTAAATTTAAACAGTTTAGAAATGCAGTAGCAGACGTTCTTTTACCCAAACACGACGATAACTTTCTGGTAAGATGGTTGATAGGTAAGTAATATTTAAAGAAATATAATATATTTATTATTATATTTATATACTTTTAGCACGGTTTTTTTAATAAATTTTATTTTTACATTTTAATCTCAGCAAGAAAATTTAACATCGAAGATGCGGAATCGATGCTGAGAAAGGTCGGTATAACTTTATCACTTTCACTCGTTATTAAATCAGATCCGATCTTTCATTACCCCTTTACTTATTATATATATTAAAGGGACAAGAGACAATTTTTTTCTACTTTAATAAATTATGTAAATTTATAATATCTCGAGTGGCGAAGTAATATAAAAATGTATATATTTTACAGAGCCTGTTATGGAGAAAGCAGTTCAATTTGGATAATATCATAAATTATANAATATGTCTTTAATAGTTTAAATAATAATTGACAATCTGCCAAGGGGTAATGCTCCCAGGTAAATCTTCTATTTGGGTGTTAGACATAAAATTTTCTTTAGCTCAACTTACAGGCATTAAAAACAAAACGAATGTAGTCCTTATATTAAGAACACAGCAATGGCTACTCTATTATGACCCACCACCGAGTCAAAATAATATCTTAACAAGAATCCATTTTGAAAAACTGAAGCACCGATCCTCCAATCAGGCTTTTGATTTGCCCACGAGTTAAACAAATTTCAGCTTAGGGCCTCACAGTTTTACGTGTATCATTATTTGGTGAAGTATAAGGGCCCGTTATATTTTATAGCTTAAGGCAGGAGTGGGAAATCTTTACTCATTTGACAGCCCTTTCTCTAAGAAAATTACACAGTCGGCCCCCCCTACAACACTGTTGATTTTTTCGTTTTATATGAATTCAATGTTGTACGAGTCACTTAGATTTTACAAATACGTGATCCGTTCACAGCCCGCCACACGTATTTGTAAAATCTAAGTGACTCGTACAACATGGAATTCATATAAAACGGAAAAATCAACAGTGTTATAGGGGGGTCGACTGGTATTAATTAATTGTAAGTCATTTTTTTTACTACGTAAGGTAATTTGTGAAGTGTCTAAAACAAAATATTTAATTCATTTTTCAGGCATATAACCGTTTTATCAGAATATTATGTTACTTTTACGTCTTTGTATTCATTTATCACGTAATTACAATCAAACATTTAATGCATAATCGAATACTACAAAGAGTTGATGTCACACTAACTCTAATATTTACAATGGATTACGTAACGAGACTAATTGTAGCTAAAAATAAGTGGAAATTCGTGTGTTCTGTAGCAAATATCTTGGATCTCTTATCGTTTCTTCCTTACGTCGTTATCTTTACAGCAACTCGTCTCATCAATTTGTTATTAAATTACAATTGGAAAATAAACACACACATCTTAGAAATTATTACTATAATGTTTAAATTATTAAAGTTAATGCGTTACTCGAATAAGATCGAAAATACCATCTTCACCGTCTACAGAAGCAGATGGGAAATACTATCGGCAATTATATTTCAAATAATAGCAGTACCTATATTTTCAACATTTATGTATATTTTTGAAGTATACGAGATAAATAATTCAGCTGATAGATCAATTTTAGGACATATGTGGTCGATTAATGCCGCTTTAAGTGGAATTAACTTCGGAACTCTATTACCAGCAGCCGTATCGAGTAAATTATTAGGTATATTAGTGGCTGCTGTTAGTTATATGATTATTAATTTTTATATTTTTATTGGAGTCAAAAATTATAATTTGACACAGAAAGATATTTATTTAAGAAATATCTTGAGAAACGAATTACGTGTTAGCAGAAATAAAGAAAGATATAACAAATTTAAGACTGAAGAGATGATGTGTTGCGTACAACAACTTCTAAGAATCGTTGAAAATCATCTGTTTTTATGGGAAATTGAAGAGGTGAGTAACAATAGAGAGGTTGCGGTCGACGTTTTCAATGCGAAAACGTTGTACGAACGTCGAACACCGCTCGAATGTCGAACGTGAACGTCGAACGTCGAGCGCCGCTTACAAGAAGCGGCGCTCGACGTTCGACGTTCACGTTTTACAGATGAAAACTTCAGCCGCAACCAGGCTATTAAATATCATTCATTAATTAAATCCGATTTCATTTTAATTAATGTTTTTCCTTATAAAAAAAGCGTTTGATGTGCTATCTCAAAGTTTAGTAATGATGGACAACAATTATCCGGAATTACTAAGAAAAGTAATGATAATAAACGGTAAGTAAGAATTTCGAATAGCTTTTCATTTATATTTTATCCTTAGTATTAATCTTATTTATTTATCTGTTTATTTTTGTGTTGATACAGCTCCTGCTCCATTTTCTATGGCATATAATCTTATAAAACCTTTTCTGCACGAAAGAACAATACAAAAAATCCAAATTTTTGGTAGAAGTAAGTACTTATAAATTAAATTATTATAGGAAAAATGTAAAGAAATACGTAGAAATATATTTTGTTCTTGTAATGAAGAGAATTTTTATTATTATTATTAAAAACTTATACCGTTATAAATTAGTACAGTTTGCAATTAGGATAATGTAAAATTATTATTCAGGTGGTTGGCAACAGATGCTGTTTACTTTTATATCTCCTAATGAAGTTCCGGCAATCTGGGGAGGAAAGAAAGTGGATCCGGATGGTGATCCCGCTTGTCCTTCTATGGTAGTAGAATTAACTTTTTTAAATCTTTATTTTTCCAATTTATTTATATCATTCACGTATCTTCAGGTTAGTCCCGGTGGTCCCGTTCCGAAATCTTTTTATTTGTCTTCCAATAAAGTTTTTATGGACGAAAATGCCGAAACATTGATTGTATCACAGAAATCTCATATTAGTGTGGAAGTGCCGGTGACGAAGAACGATTCCATATTATCTTGGGAATTTCAGACCGAAAAACACGACATAGGTTTTGCCGTATCCTTTAAAAATTCCGATAATAATAATTGCAAATTAGAAGAAATAATCCCACTGGAAAGAGTAGAAAGTAGTTTGATACCCGAACAAGGAGAGTTGATTTGTATCAAAACGGGAACGTGTAAGTGTTTTTTTTACGTGTTTATTTGCCTGAATTGAAATCAATTTAAGCTTATATTTGTTAAATATATTTGGTATAATGTTTAAATATATATTTTTTATTTCAGATATATTAAAATTCGATAACTCGCACAGTATGTTCCGATCGAAGAGGGTTAAGTACAAGTACGAAGTGAAGTCTTCTACAAAGTAATTTGTAAAACAAATATGTAAACGTCGAATTAATGTAGTAATGAGATCAATTTATGAAGTTTTTAACAGATAATTTTCTGCCTATTTTAAACACTTTTCTTTTGTTTTGTAAATAACGCATTATTGGTATATTCACGGGTGAGGAATATTTATAAAATATCCCAGATTTTAAATATCGTTTAAGAATACGAAAATGGATTTATTAAAATATTCGTGGGATTTAAATCGTGTTATGTTCAATTTGGATAATATCATAAATTATACCCCTCCAGAGGTAAGGAAATATTCGCCAATAAAAAGTAGGCCTAAATATTTATAAAATATAAGTTTTAGATTAATTTATTATTTAGATTTTTTCGTATTATTGGAAATTCAATACTTCATCTCACGATAAAGATGGAAATCCCGTGCTTTTTATTCGATACGGTTGCTATGATATGAGAGGTATTCTTATTCGTTTATACTCGTTTACTTAATTGTTTTTAACTACAAGTCGAATATCGATTACTTTATAGCATTTAAAATATGAAAAATTATAATTATAGGTATGTTTCAAGCCGCAAAAATAAGTGAGATAAAAAAATTTTTTGCCAAATCGATGGAAATCATAATTAGAGATTGCGAAGAACAAACTAAAAAGGTTAGTCTCTCGTCTCTAAATGTATATTATTTTTAATTAATATATTACCCTTACAACTATTATTATAATTTATTATTAATAACAATTCCTGGAGAAGGGAAAGATACAGAAATTGTTGCTCTTCAATCAAAAGAAGAAGGGGGGAAAGACAGATTTAGGGAAGAACTGAATGGTGAAGACAGTCGAAAGATCTATGAGACAAAATGATTCTTAGAATGAATGAACGTCGAAAGGTTACAAAAGAAATTATAATATAAAAAGATATATTATCATAATAAACGTGTCACTTCTAAGAAGAGATGACACTTGATATATTGAAAAAGTTTTTATTGATCCCAGTCAAAACCGAATTATTTTATACATAATTTTATTTTAAAATACTTTAAATTTTTATATAAAATAGTAAAATATTTATTGATAATTTTTTGTAGAAATTTCTGAAGCTATTCATTATTCTTCGTAAGATTCTGAATTAAAATAAATTTAATATCGTATTAAAGTGTATTTGATTTATATTTTTCAGTTAGGACGATACGTCGGAAAACTTTTTGTTTTGATCGATATGGATCAATTCTCTCTTCACCAGTTTCTTTATAAACCCGGTAATTTTGCTTTTGATATTAACGAGATTGCGGCTGAAGTTTTCATCTGTAAAACGTGAACGTCGAACGTCGAGCGCCGCTTACAAGAAGCGGCGCTCGACGTTCGACGTTCACGTTTTACAGATGAAAACTTCAGCCGCAACCAGGCTATTAAATATCATTCATTAATTAAATCCGATTTCATTTTAATTAATGTTTTTCCTTATAAAAAAAGCGTTTGATGTGCTATCTCAAAGTTTAGTAATGATGGACAACAATTATCCGGAATTACTAAGAAAAGTAATGATAATAAACGGTAAGTAAGAATTTCGAATAGCTTTTCATTTATATTTTATCCTTAGTATTAATCTTATTTATTTATCTGTTTATTTTTGTGTTGATACAGCTCCTGCTCCATTTTCTATGGCATATAATCTTATAAAACCTTTTCTGCACGAAAGAACAATACAAAAAATCCAAATTTTTGGTAGAAGTAAGTACTTATAAATTAAATTATTATAGAAAAAATGTAAAGAAATACGTAGAAATATATTTTGTTCTTGTAATGAAGAGAATTTTTATTATTATTATTAAAAACTTATACCGTTATAAATTAGTACAGTTTGCAATTAGGATAATGTAAAATTATTATTCAGGTGGTTGGCAACAGATGCTGTTTACTTTTATATCTCCTAATGAAGTTCCGGCAATCTGGGGAGGAAAGAAAGTGGATCCGGATGGTGATCCCGCTTGTCCTTCTATGGTAGTAGAATTAACTTTTTTAAATCTTTATTTTTCCAATTTATTTATATCATTCACGTATCTTCAGGTTAGTCCCGGTGGTCCCGTTCCGAAATCTTTTTATTTGTCTTCCAATAAAGTTTTTATGGACGAAAATGCCGAAACATTGATTGTATCACAGAAATCTCATATTAGTGTGGAAGTGCCGGTGACGAAGAACGATTCCATATTATCTTGGGAATTTCAGACCGAAAAACACGACATAGGTTTTGCCGTATCCTTTAAAAATTCCGATAATAATAATTGCAAATTAGAAGAAATAATCCCACTGGAAAGAGTAGAAAGTAGTTTGATACCCGAACAAGGAGAGTTGATTTGTATCAAAACGGGAACGTGTAAGTGTTTTTTTTACGTGTTTATTTGCCTGAATTGAAATCAATTTAAGCTTATATTTGTTAAATATATTTGGTATAATGTTTAAATATATATTTTTTATTTCAGATATATTAAAATTCGATAACTCGCACAGTATGTTCCGATCGAAGAGGGTTAAGTACAAGTACGAAGTGAAGTCTTCTACAAAGTAATTTGTAAAACAAATATGTAAACGTCGAATTAATGTAGTAATGAGATCAATTTATGAAGTTTTTAACAGATAATTTTCTGCCTATTTTAAACACTTTTCTTTTGTTTTGTAAATAACGCATTATTGGTATATTCACGGGTGAGGAATATTTATAAAATATCCCAGATTTTAAATATCGTTTAAGAATACGAAAATGGATTTATTAAAATATTCGTGGGATTTAAATCGTGTTATTTGTTTATTATTAATATAAATATTTAAAACTATTAAGTATTATAATAAATTTTATTTGAATTCTGTATATTCGTAAGATTGATTAACTTTTTATTTTAAATATATACTAAGATATAAAAGATATATATATATATATAATTGTCGGTCGTAATAAAATTGTTTTTACCTTAGAAAACTGTTACACGAGTACGTTCAACCATCTAAATGAATTATAATAGATTCTGTATAATGTCAGAATCGATAAGTGTGATTTTTAGGAAGCAGAGAACTGATAAATAGTGTAATAAAACACTAGAAAAAAAAAAACGATAAGAAAGTGTAAATGTGAAATTTTCTAACTTAAAAGGAATAAAGTTTATCATTATTACTATTATCATTTTGATAAATGAACACATTGTGCCACTTAAATATTAAAGGGGTTTCAAAAGTTGTGAAATTATTCATTCTGACTGAGTATCTAATCCAATAATGCAACATTGTTTTCTACGATATCTTTTAGAATCTCAGATTTTTTTTTAATTTATAAAAAAGCAAAATCTTAGCGTAACATATTTCGCGATTATTGATAATAGAATTCAATTACAAGTGTTATCGATTCTCGGCAAGAGATTCCTATTGATAAGAAAGGTCTTTCCATTTAATAATTTCATTAAATAAAAAGTATGTTTTATATATATATATATAGACCTATAACAGCATCCAGTAGAAATGAGAATGTGTGTATCGGCTTATCTCGAAACTCCAATCGACGTTGTCTATAGCCTATATCGAGGTCACGCTTAAGGAACTATTTTAAACAAAGATCTCGAAGATAGTTTTTTGATCCCGTCAAAAAATTTTTTAGAAACGTCTTTTTGATTTATAATTCTTTTTATTCTTTCTTTATAGAAATTTATAAGGAAATATTGTTAGGCAAGCGCCAATAGAAAAATATAAACAAATGACAATAAGACGGTAGAACCCATAGGATTTATTGGTAATTGTATTGCCTGCACTTTTATGATCTTTCCTATCTTTCAATGTTGTTGTGATAACGAATACTTTATTTTCTTATCAGATATTCACTGATAGACGTTGTTGGTCTCTAAATCATTTAAACTGGCGATTGATTTTGAACGTGTATTATCGATTTGTTTAAGAATAACCGATAATCGAAAGCGATAATGCGAACATTTGTTACTTTTTAAGTAAAGAATAAAATGCATTTTTTTTTTCTTAGAATATTTTAAATCGAAATCAATCTAAATCCAACTAACGTCGGTGTTATAATTTTATCCCGAATATTCAATTTACAATGCATGTACAGTACTGTACGTCCAATTCCGAAAAGAATTTTAGTTTAGTACTTGAGGAGTAAAACAAGTAAAATTGTAAAGATAAAACGTGATAAAATATAGAAAACATTGGCAAATAAAAAGAAGTAAAACATAAAAAAAAACTTTAAAATAATTGATTGTTTTATTTTAAAGTTTAGATACCAACCGTAAAAGATCAGCCTTAGAAAATCAGTTTATTTTTCCAAAAGGCTGATCTTGTGCCCAGTGTAATATAAGTCTAGGAGTAAAGAGGCCAACATAGTGCTCACAAGTATATACCAAGGCTAGACAAGAAGCGTATTATGAGATTAAATGGTTTGGAATTTCTTTCTGTTGAAAATTCAGAAACTAGGAAAGAGAAATATTCTTTTGCAATGGATGTATTCGCTACAATTAGGCTCGAAATAAGATTTATGTGGCCTTTTTTTTTAAATGAACGAATTACTTATCACTTTATAACTTTATGTGTATTAAGCCGTGTGGCGAAAAATTATAGAAAGCCAGTTGTCCACTTTTATGTAGTTACGCCACTGTTTACGAAAACCGTATCTATGTAATGCTGTGTCTGCTAGTTCTTTATATTGTACATCTAGTATATTCTTTATGTTAAATTTAAAAATTGGGAAACCGATTTTTCCTCGCCGTCCTTAATCTATGATCATTCGCTTAATTGTTTTTTTTTTTTTTGGACGGTATAAAAAAAAAAACAGGTAAACATTGTAGGCTTATTTGAAGTAATATTTCGCGACAGTGAACGAAAGGAATTGCATTTCTTTCAATGAGAAGCTTTACAGTGATTAAACTGTATTACATTCGCGTACTGTACATCTCGAATTTCCAGTTATCTACGGATAATGTTCGAAAATTTTCGCTCCACTGCGTAAGTATTTCTGTTTAGTTTTCACACGAAAATAAAAACACGGTGACACGCTTCTAACGTTCTGTCTAAAGCAGTTTAAAACACGCAAGTATGCGGCCGCAGACCGTGAGTGTTAAAAGCCCGTCGTAAAGATAAAAATAAACGATTGTCGTAGAGATCAATATAAATTTTCAGTAATCGGACACTCGATTGACATAGGGCCTATAGCGGGCGACCAGCATACAACTATTAATCGACCCGTAGACTTTACGTGCCGAATTTTAATCTCGAATATCTCAGCTCGTAGATAGATCGAACATCAAAAAATTTCGACTTCGTCACGACATCGGCCTTGTCAAGTGTACATATTTTCAAAAAAATCACGTTCAATGGTCGAGCGGTAGCTTTAAACTTCGATCACAGACAAAGCACTTTCTGACTTATGAAGAGCTTCTCTCAATAAAATCCATAAATTATTAATTAATGCTTTTAGTCTTTTATCAATATTAGTCTATTATGACTATTGTCTGATTTAACTTTCGGATAAAATCAGATAGATTGAATCACTCTCTTGATTAAAAGAATAAACTTTTATTTGCGCCTGTATTTTCTTGTGTTTCGGACCTTCTCGTCCCTCGTCGCAGGTGTTTTATCTGTTATATTTCTAAAATACAAAGATATAAAAAACATAAATGATAAAACACCTATCAATGAGTGACGAAGAGGTCCGAAACATAAGAAAATATATACAGGTGCAAATAAAAGTTTATTCTTTAATTCGTTCTGAATGATTTCATCCACGAGTTAAATCAGTATAAGTCCTTTTAATTGATTTTGGTCACAATACATTAATATTGATAAAATATCTATAATATTTATTTACACGACAGGTGTGAGAGAAAAGTCTTATTAACTACCAATTAGTATTATTTACGTTTTTTTTTCGGAAAATTCCGTTTCGTCTGTCTTTGCTAGGAATTTTGCCTTGTTATTTCTACGTAATTCGTAAAAAAAGGTTACATTTCTGTTTAAAAAAATACGAAAATTTTTGGTATTTTTCTAGGAGTTATAAAGAATTATTTGCAATTCGAATTTTCGTATTAGTTACATTTTATGTCGTTTCGAGTTTTAGTTTAGTCTTTGTGTAGTGCGATTGAGGTGTTACTCGATTCTGATTATAAGTTCGGAGGAAAGAAAAACATAGAGTTAAGTGTTCGAATTGTCGCTGAGATAAAACTGCCCATTACATCCACGGGATGAGGTCTGTGTCTTTTTATTATTATTACTTTACAACTTAACGTAGTGCGCGTAGACGTGTATTTTGATAAATTTAGAAAAATGTGATAAAATTGTATTTGACTTTTATGGCGAATGGTCACATGTAGAGGTATGGTCCCTTTCACTCTTATTGGTATGTTCTACAACTCTGATAAAGTCCCAATTTAGAGCTTAAATTTTGCCTACTGATGTGTGTGTTTGTGGAGTGATACGAGTTTATCCACTTTAAACACTAATAACTCCTGTCCTTTTTGTCGAAAATTTCTGAAATTTTACAGACAAGTTTATGTATTAGGGAGATTGATACTAGAAAATTTTGTTGGTTAAAGGTCGAGGGGTTAGGGAGATAGGCGGGGAAATTGTGTCGTATCTCGAGTGGTGGTGGACTTAATGAAGATCAATTTTTTAAAAATAAAATTTATCTCTATTTCTTAAAATTAAGCTTTTCGCCGTTTTATAATTAGTAATATAAAAAGTTTTTAAATAAAATCTCTTCATAGATGGCGCAATCACAATTTTTAACCATTACCGGAAAAGTTACTCAACTCGTTGCGGATTTCTTTTTATCGTGCTCTAAGTTCCTATTTATTATTTTTATTCGTTTTATTTAATGAAAATTGCTTTGTTCTTGACAATATTCGTCCATCAATTGATGCGTTATTAATCGACTATTATTTTATGTAAGAACAAACCTAGACAATAGCAAAATTATTGGTAGTGTGTGTCGCTGGATGTGTCTAAAGCTTGCGATTCGATAGACCATGTCATTTTACTTTCAAAACTGCGTTGTTCGGGTATACCTGATTTTCTTTTACAATGGTTCAATACTTGAATGTAATAAAAACAAGGTGTTCCAGGAGAATTTATAATGGATCCAATATTATACATTATTGCAAATAATGTGTAATATTTATTCCTGATGTAGCCCAAATTTGTCTCTGCTGTTTGCACTGACAAGGTTTGTCGACCTCTTCTTCCATTTTCTTCCTTTCCTCCAGGGATGTAGAAATGCTTGATATATATAGTTATTTCATGTAAATATTCTAACTTCTGTTTGGACTGATGAGGGACTATGAGTCCGAAATGTATTTCCAATACTAATAAAGTGTATATTTTTGAACTTGATCTCTCATTCCGTTTCATCACTTAACCTCCAAGTCTGTGCAATCAGCCAAATTTGGGTACACCAGGAAGAATTAATCCAGTGTAATATTGGATTTTGTTCGGATTTTTTTTAATCAAATTTTTGTTCGACAAAATATTAATATAATGTTCGAACTCTGAATTAGAGTTGGGAAAATCCAGTCTCTCCTCTGGAAATGGAATCACGGTTACACCGAATCATTATGTTCTATTGGAATTGCTGTATATATAAATGAAGGTGTTTGTTTGTTCGCTATACACTCTTAGACCGTTCGATCAATTGTTACGAAACTCGGCGATTACGTTCAAATACGTCTAACTTTGATCATGTCGTATTTACCACCCCAAAATATATGTTGCATTTCAATAAGTCAATTAATTATTATTTATATTCGATTTTCTGAGTTACACGTAGCGCCATCTATTGGCAAATAAGTTAACAAAATAAA